GTTATATGTTTTTACTTTATTTTATTTTAGCAGGAATGACTGTGTTGGGCTTTCCTGTGAGTAGTGTCTCAGAGGAGCTGGTCTGTAGGATGCCTAAGGCCCTGAAGGGTCTCCTCCTCCGTGGTTTAATTAGTCTGTTAGGGGCTGGCCTTTTATGCGGGCACCATGTGCAATACGTTAGGGCATAGCTGTTGCGAATGGGTGTCTGTTTTTGTACCTGGGGCACACTGCACACATTTGGGACGCACATGGAACAGAGTGGACATTAACCCAGATGTCAAAAATAGCCTGCATTTTACTACCGTTATTAAACAGTTTCCCCTTTAACCTCCCTGTGTTTACCAAAGACCCCTTTCTCCCAGCCCGTTTCTGCAAATCACTACTGGAAGGGCAGGAGAAGAAAACCATAACCAGGCAGGTGCCTTTATGCCGAAGGAAAACAGTCTGAAGGCACATTTATAGCTGGTTCTCCTGGGGGTGCGTTCCTGGGCCAGAGTCTCCCTGCTGGGGTGCCCTGTCCTCTGCTCCTCTTACACCCTACCTAGGGTCAAGCCAAAGGCTGCAGTGCCACCCAGGAGGGGTTTTTCTTCCCATAAAGACACTAGCTTTACATTCTAATATGATAGCAGTCCTGCGTTCTTCAGCTTAAAATGTCCAAAAGGTGCAAAAACATTCTGAGAAAAAAAATGGAAATGCCTCTTTGATAAACATTAATATTCTGCTATACATACACTTGTAAATGTTTGCAATTACTTCTGCTTGGGTGTAAAAAATGAGATGGAATTATATAAATAAGTCAATCTGCTTGTTTTTTTTTTCTCCTCTACCAGAAACTTTTAGGCATCTTTCCCCATCCAAAAATCAGAGATGTCTGTTTCAGGGCTATTCATATTCAGTTGATAAAAATGCTTATTTCCCGAGAGCGGGTGTTTGTTTCCTTCAGGGCACAAAGGTTTAAAACCTCCTTCAGGTGTCAGTTCTTGTATCCGTGTGTAGTCTGTTTCCCCATCAGAGTATAGACTCAGTAGGGACATGGGCTCTCTCCCTGCCCATCACTGTCCCCGTTGCCCACATCAGGCACCTTGCTAGTGCACTGTGCTAGTTTTCTCTTGCTGCAAAACAGATGACTTCAATCATAGCATCTTACAAACAACACCCATGCATTACCCCACTGATCCCCTCTATGGTAGGCCCATATAGAAAGTGAGAACATTTACCGCTCCAAGGTAGGGTTGAGGGGAAGGTTTGTGTTGTACATAGGAGGGGAGAGTACAGCCAGGGGCATCAGGAGGAGTTCAGGGCAGGGAGGGAAAGTAGCAGACTAAACATGGCCAGCAGAATGGACTGGGCCATAGTGGGGATGAGGAAGTGGGGGGGGGCGTGGTGGTGAGAGAGGGAGGGAGGAGAGGAGGAAGAAGAGAGACAGAGACTGAGAGAAGGAGGGAGGGAGGGCAGAAACAGTGAATATCCAAAACGTCAGGATTGTGTAGGAGTAAGAAGCTGCTGGGGGGGGGGGGCATGAACTGGAGAAGTTTAGGGTAGGGGGCAGGGTGAGAAAATCTGAGAAGAGCCAGGATGTCGGGCAGTGAAATCTGTAACAGGTATTTGTGATGCAGAGAGAACCTGGATGCCAGCATGCTCTTTGGTATGCTAACAGACTCCTAACAGAAGTCTAGAAGGTCTCTCTGGAGTTCCTAGAGGGAGGGCTTGAATGGGAAGGTTTTTGGAGCAATGGGCTCTAAGCTGGCGACTCCTTTGGGTGGGGGTAGGGGGTGGAGTCGAACAACCCTCTAATGGCGTCACATATCAGATATCCTGAGTATCAGATATTTACATTAGGATTCATAACAGTACCGAAATTAAGGTCATGAGGTAGTCATGAAATAGTTTAATGGTTAAGCAGACGAACATCAGCCACCACAACACAAGGGCCTGTTTTAGAGGGTCCCTGCCTTAGGAAGGTTCCAAACCACTGTCCTAAAGGAAGTTGTAGTCCCTTACCCTTGGGGCTCTCAGCACAGTGAGGTCCCACAGCTTTCATACCTGACTTTCTCTCTTGTAACGATGACAGGAGAAAGAGATCTGTGAAGGAAGGGCCCCTCCCTGTCCTTATGCTAAATCTGTTTGGGCAAACTTCCTTTGTATTAATTTAAAACAAACTGGTTAGGAGCCCTAATTGAGTTAATTAATACAATTACGGTCTGCTGTAGTTCACTCCAAAAGCCAGGGGTTGAGGGTAGAAAGACTTATTTTAGGGGAATCTGGGTAGGGAGGACATTTTAGGATTCTGTCTACTCTAAACACTCGTTAGCATCTGTGGAACCAATGAGGAAATCACCCCGTCCCAGGCACTGTGCAAAGCCCAGGGATGCCTAGAGAGCAGGAGCGGCTTGGCCTTGCCCTCACCAAACTTAGCTAAGCTGAGAATGGCGGGTAGAGAGAGACCCGTCCGCTGGGGAAATGGCCGGAGTGTATATGGGCAAGTGACACAATTAGAAGAACAAGGTAGTGATGCCCGCCCTTGAGAGCTTGACATGGGGAGAAGACAGAGAGCAGGCAGAGCCCTGGCCAGCCTGGCCAGGGGCCCACGGCTCCTCCATCCCGAGTGCTGATGGGTTACAAAGAGCTATGGACAAGGGTGGCATATGCTAAACAGCTGTGCCCTGGAGTGGCCATCACTAGCACAGCAGATCTGTTGGCTGTCCCAGAAGACACCTGGGTCTGTCTTCCTTGCAGGAGGATACTGGAGAAAGTACAGCTTCAAGCATCCTTGTGAGGGAGAACCAGTCAAGCTGGGAATCATCTTAAGAGTGGGTAGCAGTCGGGTTGCCATTGCTGGAAGGCTGGATCTCGTTTTTTAGATGCTTTAAAAGTACATTTTTCACTTGCGCCTTCAAGGAGTGATGATCCCTGTTTGCAACTGCCGGCAATGCCCCGTCAGGTTTGGTTTGGTTTGCTTCTTCAACTGCAGACTGGACTGAGCCTCTTGTTGAAATTTTGTTGAAGGGTGACAGCGCTTTAAAAAAAATCATTTTCTTTGCATTGTAGATGGTTAAAGATAGTCTATGAGTACATCCATGGTAGTGGTTATTTCTGTTGTCTTTCCAATGAAAAAAAAAGTAAGAAGCATCACAGGACCTAAAAGATGTAGCTGGAGATGTAGGGGCCCTCGATAAACGTGTAACAGGTATGCCATTTGTTATTTTCTGTTTGCATCTTTAAAAAATGCCATTTAAAATCAGTATTTAAACCATCAGGGACTTTTGAGAGTTCTCTTACCTAAAGATAATCATTACCTTTCCCACAAGCAGCACACTGTGATTGTGAGACCCATGTTCTGCTGTGTGACCTGGTGCACAGCTGGAAACCTATCTCAAAACCGAATAAACAATTGTTCTCTGCTGCTTTATCTTGGAAGAGTATCAAGGACATCGACCATAATTGTTTTCTGCTTAGTTCCCCATCTGCAAAGGAAACAACCTGTGCATTTTAATACTCCCTTACACTTCCCTTTCCCTTTTCATCATATGGCCTTTTAATATATCGGGGTGCCCTTTAAAGGGATGATTAAGGAATGCTTAGCGCACAGAAGAATGAGAGCTATGCGCAGCTCATGAAACAGAAAGCGTGCTCAGACTCACAATTTTCATACAAACTTTGCAGAGATTTTATGTGCCAGAGTGAGTAATATGATCTGCACCAGAAACTCCCTAAATTTCTGGCTCTGCAGAAGTCATTGTTTGCCCTGATTCAAGTTTCTTAACCAGAACAATTACACCAAACTCCCCAAAGTATGAATTAGCCCGAATTCATCCAAGCCATACCTTCCGTTGATAATGCTGAAGGATGCCCAGAAATAGATGCTTTCCTGGGCAGACGCAGAGATCTTTGACTTCCTCATCAGCCAGGGGGACTAGACTAGGGCTGCGGACCAGCTGCCAAAGCAGACATCCAAGGGTAGACTATAAACATGCTTTGGAGGGCAAGACGTGGTAGGGTAGGCTTGCATTCCCAGCATTTGAGAGCCTTGGGGCAAGGAAGTCAGGGATCATGAATTCATGGTCATTCAGGATACATGGCAAAATGCTCTCTCAAAAAGTAAAATGAAACAAAAGGTGTGTGTGTGTGTATGTGTGTGTGTATGTGTGTGTGTGTCAAGATAGCCACACTTGTCTCTGTGTTGGAAATACCCAGCATTCCAAGGGTCTCTGAATGGTAGTGGCTCAGGGCACAGCTGAGCATGAGCAGAGACGAGGGTCCCAGCTGTGGCTCCCTTGGTGTTGCATGACAACCACTGCTGCCAACGCGCTCATTTGTTGACAGACACTTGGTGCTGTGGTGAATAATGACGCTTTGGGTGCTTGTGCTCAGGAATCTGTTTGAGTCCAGGCCTTGGGTTCCTTTGCCTGTACACATATGAATGGGATCGCCAGGGGTCTTTGGAATTGTTGCCGTCACGCGGCTTATAACTGGGAGTTAAAAGCTCTTGGTATATTGGCTGCCTTTAACGTTTCAATCTCTCTGAGTCGAGTCCGGAAAAAAAAAAGAGAGAGAGAGAGTAAAACCATAATCGTGGAAGACAAAACATGCAGAGGAAAATAAAAAAGTGGCATGGAATTTGATCATGTCATCGCTCGGTAGACCAGGCTGGCTTTGAACTCACAGAGATCCGCCTGCCTCTGCCTCCCGAGTGCTGGGACTAAGGGTGTGCGCCACCAACGCCCAGCTCCCCTTCCTTTTCTTTGTGGTTATCAGTACGGGGCATGGTGTGAATGAGCCTCCTCTCAAGACACGTGTGTAGGACATAGCGTGACTCTCTGTTTTATTTGTCCCTTGTCTCTGCTCCCTTCCCTTTGCTCCCTTTCCATTCTCTCTCCTGACCCCTACCAAAGATGGTGGCTGTGTCTGGGTCGGGGAGAGGGGAGGGGAGTCTCTGCCATGTGGTGGGCGGCAGACCTCACCACCACCACGCTGTTAAACCATGTCCTTTCTCGTTGCAGCTCTCAGAAGGGTTGTCTAAAGGGGAAGCTCCGCACGGCAGCCATAGCCCGGTAATCTACCGCAGCCTGGCTCTCAGCACTGTCCACCGCCAGCGGCAAGTCCGAACAGAAGGGGGATTCTCACTTCCGCTTTCCTGCCTGATTCTGGTCACCTCACTCCTCCTGCATTCGGGTGTATGGGAAAGAAAGGGTACAAAGGAGGAGAAAGATGGCAGCTCCTTCGTTTTCTATCAGGGTCTGGGCGTTTGCAAAGCGACTGCCCCTGCTGAAAGCCACGTGATGAGTGAGGGTTTCATTTCCGTTGCTTTGCCTCATGGATACGTTGGCACTGCACGGGATTCAAACTGTGGCTTCCCTCGGGCAGCTCGCTCCGTCGCCCATCATCCTGCTGGGCAGTCTAAGTGGTCCTAACACATTAGATTATTGGACAATCTGAGCTTGATGTGGACAAGCGCTGCTGGCGGTGTCTGTGTACCGCAGTGCGTGGGATGTTTGACAAAGAAACCAAGAGACCAAAAACTGAGAGCCTTTACCCTCCTCTATTTCTTTAATCTGTCAGTCAAGGAACCACATTTTGATGGGTGTTATCAGTTGTTACCTCTGGGCCAGGTTGGAGACGAAATCAATTTTTTTTTAAAACCACTAATAACTTGCCAAGAAATCGCCTTATGAGAACATGGTGTGTGTCTCTGACAGTGCATGGCACATCTAAATTGGTCATTCATAATTTTATCATCCTGCTCATGTACGAGAGAGTGACAAGAGCCTGAGGCATCTGCATATCCACTCCACATGCTCCTTGAACCCCACGGCTGGGACACGACCCAGCCTCAGGCTCTTCTCCTCCTCACACATGCAGGTCTCCATGAAGAAACCGAGGTTCATTCATGTTTCAGGACCCAAATGCTGCGCAAGCTAGGATCTGCTGTAAATGAACAGTCAATTCTCATTGTTTGTTTTCTTCTTCTTCTTCTTCTTCTTCTTCTTCTTCTTCTTCTTCTTCTTCTTCTTCTTCTTCTTCTTCTTCTTCTTCTCCTCCTCCTCCTCCTCCTCCTCCTCCTCCTCCTCCTCCTTCTTCTTCTTCTCCTTCTCCTCCTTCTTCTTCTTCTCCTCCTCCTCCTCCTTCTTCTCCTTCTCCTCCTCCTCCTCCTTCTTCAGGAAATGTCTTTAACATGGATTCCAAAGCATTTTCAGCATCCAACATGAAAGCATTGATGAATGAAGAGCAATCACAAAAGTTGTGTGTCTGTAAATAGCATTATACAACCTGTCTGTGGATAACAGAGTCGGTATCTGAAGCACATGCCAGGGAAAGACCACGCTCCAAGGTCTTTTACATACAGCGACAAGGTACTAAGGAGAATTCAACTCCTGCTGCTTCCTCTGAAGCTTAAGAAGTTATTAGTCATTGCAACTCCGTGAACATGTACAGCGGAGCCTGGCAAATGTGCAGCTCTTGTGTTAACCCATTTTCTTGTCAACGGGAGAAACCCTCCCACCTGCATTCCTAAAGGACAAACAGTGAATTTAAGCATGAGTGGCCTTAATAAATACAATTGTCTTTCTTTGCTGCTGTGGAGAGGGTTCTAAGCAGAAGTTGCTGGAATCTTACATTGAATAAAATCATTATTACTTTCCAAAAATGTTGGTGCAATTAACTCTGGACCTCTCTCATGAGCCATAGAGATATTTAAAAGACAAACCCCCTTGTTTTCTGGGGAAAGGAAACTGTCCCCGAACGCACCCTTTATTCCTGGTATATCAGGAGTAATCTATCCAAGCAGGTTTCTTGCTTCCGGCTTCATTCTCGTCAGTAAAATAGCGAACTGTGTAAAGCTTGTGCGTGAACATAAATGATCCAAACACGTTCATGTTTAAAAAGTTTGTCCTTTAGCTTTCAAAAGGATCTAGGTCATTGTTAGAGAATGGAGCAGAGTTCTTTGCAAGTTTATTTAGTACATTTTGGTAGAGTGTTGCAATGAAAACCCAAGCCACAGATTGGTCCCCAGGTATGGTTTGGGTATCCTCAGAGAAGTCCTCACAGCCTGCCACCAGGTCCTGACCTGAACTCTGCAACTAAATACTTGAAATAGGAAGTAGGAGAACCAGGATGGTAAACGGGGTCCTCGAAGTAGAAAACAATGTGATGAACCATGTGTAGTTAGCCCTTGCTATTTCTACATATGTGCCAATTTTGTTACAGCTATCGTTTGGGAATCTTTTTTTTTTTGCCCCACTTTTGTTGGTTGAAAGGATTATTTATCTAACTTTCATGCAAATATATCTATCATTCAGTCCCTGAAAAATCAAATTCTATCTAACACATCTTTTTGTGTGTAATATTCTCTGATGTTTGGGGGTTACCAAAAAAAATCCCTTTTTGCACATTGACAATAGTGTCTGGGTTTACAATAAACACTGTGATGTTCAGAAGATTTTTCCTTTGTGCAACCTTTAGCAGGTTCCCTTCTAATCATAGTATAGATGAAACTAAACAAACAAACAAAAAACAGTTTGGGCTAACATTTAGGAGAAAGTTGGTCTAAGTCTTACTTTGTGCAAGAGCAGGCTTGTATTTATACCCCATTTGATTTCTGTATACAGTCTCAATTTTGTATTTAATGATTTTGTGTATTCAGTATGCACCTTATCAGCGTGTCAACTTTCATTTGAAAGTGGGTTTTACTTTTTAAACAGTGTTTATGATGAGACCTCAAACGCATTGACATAAGCTCCATCTGCAGTGTTTTTTGTGTAGAGTGCATTTGAATGCTGCCAGGGGTCCATGTATCTAATTCCCTGAGACCCTTGTTTGATAGTGCTTTCTTGTAATATTTCTTCACGTGAGTGGCATGTGGGTTGTGATATTGACCATGCTATTATGGACATGGATATGAAAAAAAAATAAATAAAATTAAGGAACCCTCGAAACTACCAATGGGCATGTATCAGTCAGTCTTTGTAACCTCGTGTCTAGTAGAGATACCATGTGCAAGGTGTGTACAGCTCATGACTTTGTTATCACGTGTGTGAGAAGTACTTTGTGCTGATTGTCTTATTTATATTCATCAAATAAACCTTGTTTCTTTCCGAAGTGGCCGCATTCCATCTCTCACAACAAGTATGCCATGTGAGCCTCTCTAACATGCTGGGGCCATTGGTCACCACTGGAAGAAACATACGGGCCAAAAGAAGAAGGAAGGAGATGGGAGAGGGAGGAGGGAAGAAGAGAAGTTACAGGCTTCGTTAACTGGAGAGGCCAAGACAATAATCTTCCTTGATGGACAGCTGGTCGTGCAGGCTCAGATCAGGAGGTTAGATCGGGGGCCATGCCTCCACACCTCCCCGTTTCCCTTATTTTCACACAATCCCTTCATTTTTCCCTTTCTTCCCTCTTCCCCCTCCCTCCCATCCCCCTCCTTCGTTACATTCCTGGTTATGCTGGTGGCTTTAGTCTCTGTGGTACTCACCCCTTGGTAGCAAAGATGCTTCTGGGCATCTTTGGGACTTTTCGAGAAGAGACCTTTTCCTTTTCAATGTCCACAAATGTCCCCCAAAAGGGACAGCCACTTTAGCTCCGTTTGGATCTCAAATCCATCCTTCTTGCGGGAGCTGAGAGGGTGAGGCTGTGTGGCTTACAGCCTCATTTTCTAGTGGGAAAAACATGGATTCCATTAAAGAAAAGAGATGGAAATGTTACTCGGGAAGAATAATTAACAGCACTGTCACTACTCGGATGCACATGGTCACCCAGACATGGACTCACATGGTCACCCAGACATAGACTCATTGGCCCTTGCAGCCTGAGTTAGACCATCGACAATGCCCACGCACACTGATAGCCTCTTGCTAGATGTCTACGGAAAGGAGCCAGGTCCTGCTTCCTCTAAAGCTTTGAGTTACATTAGCACCATGGGATTTCCAGTTCTTACCAAAAATGAAATCATTGAGTGGTTGCTAGAAACTGTGTTTTACCAGATGGGGAAACTGAGGTCCAGCCATAAACGACTAATCTAGGCAGATGTGGTAAACTCCTGGCCATCTAAGACAGGACTGTGTGTCCCTGAGAGGCCCTCTAGGAAGGAGAAGAGGAGACCAAGGTCTTCCTCCAACTGATCCTTGACAACACTCAAAGTATCTTTGGGTTTATGGGATTGACTTCCCCTACAGTCAGGTACACTGGGGGCCTTGTTTGTCTTCTGCATTTTATTGTCTTTTTGGAGAAAGAGGAAGAATTTCTCACACCATAGTCTTGATGAGGTAGACCGCACTTATCCAGAACTGCTATGTCAACCCAGCTGGCCATGGAACCCCTACTTCATAACCAACAAACCCAGCCCCTGGGTGAGAAAGACAGCAGCCCACGTTGTCGGACTGTTTGCCCATTGCAGAGTTCCCTGGGGCCTTATAGATATGCTTGTGGTTTGGGCCTCCAAGTCTCCTATGACTGCCTCCACCACTGTCTGTGAACTGCCCTTACAGAAGACCAGAGAAGACAGCCTAATCCTGGATCCAGAGCTGCAGTCCTACTGCTAATGATACGTAATCATAGGCAGCAAACCATTGACCTGACCTGAGGGTTTGCTAGGAGTAGGGCAGTGAAACGGATGATGTCAGAGCATCTATTCTCACTCACCCTGGCAAGAACTCCGTGAGGTAAGCACTGTCATGATCTGCGTTCCACACACCTAACAGAAGTGAAGCCATGGGGATGATCAGACGCAATTCTTACAGAGTGCTTGTTTGGTGCCATTTTGTAGTAAATGCTATGCATATGTGAACTTTTTTGCCTTCAACACAATCCCATAAAACAGGTGGGTTTTAGATTCCATTTAATAGACTAGCGGGAAATAAAGCCCAAGGGCCTGACAAGCATTGCTCAGTCCCCCTCCCCTTTGAACCCAGTGTTAGCAAGAGCCTTGCTGAGGAGGGGGTCATTGAGCCCTAGGTCAAGTCTGTCTATCAGAAAGGACAATTGGCAATGTTCAATAAGAGTTCCTAAGCCTAAACCTAGGGTCTTCTTGTTCCTGAATTTATGTTCAAAATTATCCCCAGGGGAATATTTAACAAGTCCTATCCACAAAGCATTTCTAGAACCCACTTGGGTCTCTGACTTTAAGGAAGCTTTTAGAGCAAGCAGTCCAGTGGTGGAGTGTAGTATAAACTGTATTTGTAAGTGACCGATTTAAGCCCGTTCCACAGATATGGGGTGTTCTTGATTGTTAAAATGATAAATTAAGATGGGCAGTGGTGCCACACACCTTTAATCAGGAGGTGGAGACTAGCGGATCTCTGTGAGTTCAAGACCAGCCTAATCTACAGAGCTAGTTCCGGGACAGGCTCCAAAGCTCCACAGAGAAACCCTATCTTGAAAAAAACAAACAAACAAAAGAGATAAATTAGTGATGTCTCCCACTCCTTGCAATACTATCACACCTTAGAGATGAAATGCATACTGGATTCCAATTTCCTTGGTGCTAACCTCCTATCTCTTTTCTGCTTTCATCTAGGGCATCACACTGCATTTAACTATTATGCTGCCATAAATTCCCATCACTGAGAATCACTCAGACGGTCCTTGTTTTTACGACCTTGGCTGCTTTGGAGGTCACTAAATGGGTGTACTATGGGGCACTTCTAGCTCTCTATTTTTCAGACTTAGACTGGGGAACTTAAGGGCTGTTGGGAGGAAGGTCACAGAGCTGATAAATGACCTTCTTCGGGGCAGCTTATCAAGGAGGGCTCATACTTGCAACATGACTTAACACTGCCGGGTTGGCTGGGCCAGTGCTTGTCACTTTTTGCCGCCAAGGTCACCCTTGTCCTCCCACTGTGTTGGACTTCTAAAGTATTAAAGTAGGGGGCTGGGAAATAACTGTGTAGGCATGGGGACCCGGGTTCATATCCCCAGCAACCATGCAGCGAAACTGGGTGTTACGGCACTCACCTCAACTCCAGCACCGGGGGGCAGAAACAGGAGAATCTCAGGACTCGCTGCCCAACAGCTCTAGCCATCCATGAGCTCTACATTCAGGGAGAGACCCTGCCTTAAAAATTAAGTGATGGAGAGGAAGGTGTCTGAGGGCTGCCTGTGGCCTCATGAACACACACATGCACCAAGTGTTCGGGGCACAGAGATAAATGATTGGCTCTCTATCTTAGAATGTTCTCGTAACAGGAGCTATAGGATTAAAACTACAGAAACAAAAACAAAAAACCTCCCAGTCTTGAGGAGCAAAATCGTTTGCTCACCATTCCGTTGCTTGGCTGAGTTGTCCCTTTTGGGTGCGGGCACACCTGGTGCCTCCAATCCCATCTTCACAGTAAGATTATAGGCACATCTGTGACAGAAACAGCCGGCCTGAGAGGACCGGACCCCTTTGCTAATGCAGGCTAGAGCCAGCGTTTGTAGTTCAGAAATAAGTGATGCCCGTCGACACTGTAACTTCCTGTAGTGAAGACTCGGGGGACACTGACCTTGGTGAGCCCCACGCCTCACCCGCGCGGGAGCTGTGGCTCTGCCATTGAAGGAGGAAAGATGGCATTTATGTGGGTCAACATATCTGTTAGAGATTTCTTTTCCCCTTTTGCAAGAATGGACCCTTCGCACGCAGAAGGGAAGAACAGAAGTCTCGTAAGTAAAAGTAAATGCACAAATGAGAACCGCGGAGGCCTGCACCTCTAATCGAGGTGCTTGGGGTCCCCAGGTGGGGGTTGATGAGCTCAAGCCCCGTGTGGGCTGTGTACTCTAAACACAACAAGCATATACGTACATATATTCCCTGGGCACTCTCAGCCCTACAGGTAAGAACTCAGACTTTATAACTCCTTTGTGAAGGGGAAAGGCTCGTTCTCTTCCTTGCTAGGGATAGTGTCCCCTGCTCCAGGTAGAGAGACCCATTGCAAAGGGATAAAGTACACAGCCCCAAGTAAAATCAGGAAGCAAGTGCTGGGATGCAAGCGTCAAGTTTATGCAGTGAAAAGATCAGCTCACAGCAAAGCTACATTCCGTTCCACCATGGCTCCCCAAAGAAGACCACAGGTCAGCAAAACAGCACGGGACTGGCAAAGCCAGACAGCTGCTTCCTACCCGCTAAGCGGTAGGCCTGTGCTTGGAGTGGGGCCTGCTCGCCTGCTGATTAGCTCTCAAGGTACCTACCTACCCACCATGAGAGGGACTGTGTCTATCCGCTGACTTGAGCGAAAGAAAGCTGTACGGGAGAAATCGTTGCCACATGCCCCAATGTGGCATCATCTGTAATCCTGGACAGAAAAGAGCTTCCCATCTAATTCTATTCATAGAAAGCTCAGCAAAAAACAAACAAACAAAAAACAAGATTCAACTGTGGGCATACCAATTTGAATCCTTAGCCCAGAAATTATTTACAAATTTAGGAGTGTGATGTAAAGATTCATCAAGCAACATTTGTTCTGCCTCATATCAAAGATTTTCCCCTAAGAAATGTTAATGCCAGCCGGGCGTTGGTGGCGCACGCCTTTAATCCCAGCACTCGGGAGGCAGAGGCAGGCGAATCTCTGTGAGTTCGAGGCCCGCCTGGTCTACAGAGCGAGTACCAGGACAGTCTCCAAAGCCACAGAGAAACCCTGTCTTGAAAAACCAAAAAAAAAAAAAAAGAAAGAAATGTTAATGCCAATTATGCGCCAAGTTTCACATCACCGAAGTTGGAAAACCAGGGAGCAAATCTAAGCTATAAACATTTCTTGTTTGGCCAGCACGTGTATCTCAAAACTTGAGGAATTAGGAATTAAGGCTGGGGCTGTAACTTCCTGTAGAGTGATGGACCAGTAAGCATGGGGCCTTAGGCTCAGTCCCTAGAACTGAAAAACCTGATGAATCACCCAGATTAAACAGAACTGAAGAGACATGACCGCAGTGTCTTGCATCATTCTAAATGGGATTGAGCACCACACGCTGGGACAGGCACTGAAATTTGAAGAGTACCTGAGATTGGATGGCAGCGCTGGACCAAGATGGCTTCCTTATGGGAAAGTTACTATGATACAGAGATGGTCTTGTTTAGGAGAAACGTATGATGGGGAATTAAGAGGCTTTTGTAGCTTGCGGTTACGTGG